GAAGGCGTCGTACCTCCAAATGGAACTGTACTACCTTTCTTTTGGGTCGGAGTCTGATTCAATTTTCGAGTCTCACCGTTCTGACGCCAAGCCACTGGTGACTTAGCTGTAGACCTGACAGCACCCAGTTGGCTGAATCCTTACGGCCACTTGTATTATGACCGAGTTGTGGAGCATTAGACTGAGAAGCAGTTGGTTTACGTGAGAATAGAGACCCCATTCTACGCTCCGTAGGAGTAAGATCATGACAAAGGAAACATTTTGCGCTCTCTAGGTACGCAGTGACACGCTCTCGATGGGTAAAGATTGTGTCAACCTCGATTGATGAAAACAATTTGACTAAGATGGGTGGATTTGTACTACGGGAGGACAAGCGTTTGGCATCCGCTATTTTATAGTTGAAACCACATGAATACAGGAAGCTGGTCGCAACATCAATTGGCCGAGCAGATCGAGGAACATTTTTTAGCAGGAAGTTGTAAGAACGCTTCTGTCTATCACCAGATTCACTGGCGATGAGGTGAACAAGTGAGTCGAGACGCCTACATTCTTCAGAGGGAATATCGGAGATTTTCCCGTCGAATAAATGTCCAAGAATTGTCAGCAAAGAGCCAAACTTTAGCATAAAGTCATTGCAGTGGTCAAGTGCAGACAGATTAAGCTGCCGACCAATTACAACGGGTGACGACTGACTAGTAATATCATCTGACTTAGATTTAGGTAAAGCTTCTGACTTACGTTTAGTTAGGCCATGTTTACTTACAAGAGCCGAGAGCTTACGTCGACCAGTGACTTTTGGTCTCATCTTGTCTCGAGGCAATTTGTGATTAAGAAAACTTCTGGCAGACAAGTTGACTGAATTTCAGCTAGGGGCTAACGATGTAAAAATAAATTACAACAGTTAGAGGGGAATCGGATGCACAAAATGAGAATTGCAAAGTGCGATTAGTGAACAGCGGGCATAGACTAGCAAAACTCGAAAGGAGATGGCAGCGGGCAGTTCTTAGAGAAAAGGCCTGTATTTAAGGAAATTCAACCAAAAAACAGGTACTAAAATCGTTAGATCTCACAGAAAAACCACTACAAATAATATCCTCCACTTATCTTCAAATTTAAAACCAGCGGCTTGACCTTGACCTTGAGGGCTTGGATTCCGTATCCCAGATGCGAACGAATGAACGCTCTGTTTGCTTTTTCAAATAACTCTTCGTCTATAATGATGAAAGTTCGTTTTATGGCAAAGAGAACACTGGTGGCCCTTTTGGCCGCCCTAACGCATTGAGAGGAGGGCTTCAGAGTCGACAAGATGCCGATCCAAAGATCTTTTTGTTTAGTTCCATTTGAAAGGCACCCTCTGCGAAGTGGTAATGGTGATATTCTCCATCGGCTCTTCCATTCGTTTTGAGTTGCAGTACGACGCACTTCTGAGGTTTAAACTTCAGCAGCCACTTGTCAGACCATTCACATGGGCGGTTCAATCCTATTGCAGAGTGCGTTCATCATTTTCCTCGTTGATCGCTCGCCATAACTTGATGTCATCAGAAAACATGACACTATTGCAGTCCAGTTCATTCATACAGTCGTAAACATGGATTAAAAACAGTACTGGGTCGAGTAAAGAGCCCTGGGGAACTCAAATCACAACTGGCATCGGAGTTGACTTCGCGCTGCCAGTGCACACAGACTGTGATCGGCCGGTCAGAAAGTCCTTTACCCAGGTTAATGGGTTCTTCCTTATCCTGGGACTCTCGGACATTGTAAAGTCTGCGTCTAAGCGTTGTTTTTGCACCCGATGTAGACGATTGTTTGGCGACAGCGACGGCTGTGACAGACTGTTAGACATGACGATGTTTACAGGCCGACGGATGAGTGATAGGTTCTTGCACTGCCTGTATATGAGGGTTGGCTCCCCGGTCTCCTGTTCAATAGAAGGCTTTATCCCTTTTGCTTTACGGGCTATTTTTTAGTGTGATCTTTCGGATTCTTTCATAAATCCGCCATTAGAGTCTGTGTGAGTGCATCATACGAATGAATATTATTAGTCGATCCCTGAGCGATGTAGACGGATATCGGGCGTTTGTGTCGCCTTACTTCAAATGGCCTCATGTCTTTGACACGGCGTGCCTCTTTGATGGGAACTGGACCTCAGTGCCTGACATCATGTACCTACCCTGTGATAGCACAGGGCTGAATGAACGTGAACTTTTTGGATATAGTGTATCATATTAACGCCTTCTGCAGTTCTCGTCCCGTCGTGTTGCTGGCTCACGCCGGTATCGGCGTGTTCGCAGTGTTGAATCTGTGGCATTTCTTCAGTGTTTGAGTGGCGACTATATATTTGATCGCCTCTCCATACCGCCCGTTTGCATTCGAGTATTCGTGAGTCAAGGCGTCGTCCCTTTTAGCATGCGTAATAAAAACGAATTTATTTGATGCCCGCTTACAGGTATTGTAGGGTGTCAAGGACAGTCCTGACACGGATTATGTTAACATACGCCTTACTGTTCGCTTGCGTGGGGTCGAACCTTTGTCTGCATTAACCTGGAGTATGTGATAGCTGCAGGACAATGGGCTATACCGACAACTAACTTTTTCTCAGTGCGTTCTCTTGCCTCGAACACATTCCTTATGCACGGCAGCGAGTGCCAAGTTGGTGGTGTGCTTCTTCATTTCGTTTGTCGTGGTACTGTACGCATGCAGAGGCCAATGAAGTTATTCGGGTAGCCGTTTTTCAGTTGGCCCGTGAGAGACCGTAGTTCCTGCACTTTTCCCTTGGGTTTTCTACAGCTTTTTACCTTTTCGAAAAGCTAACCGAAACGCCCGGTGTTGTGCATCATCAGGCGGTTGCCTGGAAAGCTGATAACACTGTGGTGTTTTGTTCACCAGCGCACATATTTGTGACGAGCACGTCAAGGAAAGTCAGGCATCTGGCTTTCTCTTCTTCACTTGTAAACAAGGTATTGAAGAAGGTGTCGTTAAGCAGGCAGTAAAAGCCCGAAAGCCTGTCACTTTCAGTTATGACGGACGTGTCATCCGCCTACTGACGCCAAAACGCAGGTTGGCAGCGCTTCAAAGTGACCTTTATCAACTTTTGTAGGACCAATTTCGCAACTGGACCAGGTACTCGGGAATCTATCGATGTTCGTTTGACCTATTACTGTGTTCTGCCGCTAAAGGTGATAAAGGTCCGTTGGTGGAATACAAATATTTGCACAGAATGTCCAATTTTTAAAGACCCCATAATTTCGCCACGCTTCTTTACGAGCCGTTTGAGTATATGTAGCGCGCCCGGTCTAACGAGATAGATGTTAAAAGCGAGACAACATCCAATGATGCATTAATTTAGTCATGCCATTGAAGAAAGGGGAAAGAATGCAGGGCATTGTTAAGCAAGTATATTGCTGATTGCCTGGATCGAACAATATTCACCCCGCTTCGAGGTGTCTTATGAGTTTCAAATATTTAAACCGTTGTTGCGGTTCCCTTCATACCTGTGACAACTTCCTTTCAGAAAGCAACGTACAGTTCCGAATGAGACGGAACGCCGACGCCACTGGATCTGTACCTTTTTCCGTGGAAGATGGAATACTGGTCTTCATTCTTATCGAATTATAACAATCTTTATAATCGGATGGAATCGTGGGCTCATTGTTAGGATAGTATACACTAAATTGGCTGTCGCTCAGTGATGTGTTCTGAGGATTCCAATTCACACATTAAGCTTTATGGAGCAAGAGTCTGCGACCAGGTTCCCTTTTGTCTCATCTACCACTCATCTAGTGGGAGAATAAGGTTATCCTCAGTTCAAGTCTGCCGTAGTTTTTCATCAAAAATATTTATTGAAAAACCGGTTTAGCAAAGTTATTTTGCCTAAAATCACCCACTCTCCCTCTGGCGATTCCAAACGTCAGAGTCATATATCCTTTTTATTGTTTACTGAAGAGGCGGATGTATTTATCGCCTTAGCCGCCCAACTCTTCTCTGCTGTTGGCTAAATTTCAATAACCCCTAGTCTGCATTTACGCTAGGGACCACGTTTCTTAGCGCGGATTATCATAGCTGCAGCCTACCTTCGTTTTTCTCTCCTAGTATTACCTTCACATATTTCTCCGTCAGCACCAATTTCAATACAAAACTTAGCGTTTTTGCCTTACTCGTATACTTTAGAGAATGCAGCCCTTGTTTAATTATTGAATGGCTTGACACTACAACGTCCTACATTGATGGCTCAGGTCAATATTTCTCGTGGGCCAATTTTCACTCCCAAGTCTCGAGAGTTCCTTCAGTTCGGGAGTGGGTCGATAGTCGACCAATCTACTGAGACTTCAGACACTCCAGGAAATAGCTCGAATGCAGAAAACATTTTTTAACGGTATTGGAAATTGCTTTAAAGGCACTGAATGCCTGGCCAAATAAATTATATTTTATTCATAACAGAAAACCCAGAAGGTTGTCACACTGGCATTTATCTGAAGTATTCGGCCTTTAAGTACTTCAACTCGAATGTCGAACGCATATTAAATGGAATTCAATAAGGCTTATGCCATTTAAAATAGCATTGCTTGTGTTTGATGTTTATTATTGTTTGACTGCACTGTATGTCTAGGACGATTGTGTCACTCGATGACAATCAGCTGTTTTTTTATCTGCGATCAGCTGTTCAGTTTTTCCTCCGTAATGAGCCGCCCGTCGTCAAAAGAGCCTACTTTGTAGCGCACATTTTTCCAGTGTACACGTTCTTGCCTTTCGTTGTGAAAAAATGCAATAGTTGAGCATTGTTGGAACTGCAAGTACCAGTTGAAGGCCTCATTAATTTTGTAGAGCCTGAATCGAAACTCCCTACGTTACGTCTCCAAATCCATAAGAAAATGGTTTCACAAGTTCCAGTGACATCTTCAGACCTGAGTGGTCCTGAGTTTGATTCAGACGTTGATTCTGACTACGTAGCACATACGTACGCTAATATATGCAGTCATATTCTTCGTCGGGGAGATCTGAATATGACCTCATTACAGTCACTGCCATCGGAAGCGAATAATTCGTCTATTGAGAAGAAGGGCTTGGGGCGGAAAAATAAGGTAATTTTGCTTCAGTAATTGAGTGGCAATGTTCCAGGAGTCCGAGCTGAAATGTTTGCAACAAAAAATCGAAAACCTTGGCCACCTCGGGCATCCATTGATTATTGAATTTCTTCTGTTACCCTCTAACTATCTATTGTCGAAAGCGCCACATCCGGTGGCAGTAAAGCGTATGCCCGCCTTCTTGGTTGAGCAATGGATGGTTCAGCTACTTCCTCGCAGGTACTTTTGATAAGTTCACAATGGACGGCTCAACTTCCATACTATGTCCACTCACTGTCTTTTTTTATTTAATGCACTTCCATTTTAAAACGTAATCTATACCAGTGGAATTCAATTTACAATGTTATCACCACTAATTTTGGTTTGATATGTTAAGGACGAGGATGGTAAGCGGGACATAAGCCAAGCAAGAGCCCCATCGCTGACGAAATTGATATGTGCAAGAAAGGAAGTACTGAATGAACGTCTTTTACTTTTTTCTTTCCACTCCAATGCACATCCCCAAGGAAAGAAGTGTGCTTACGTTTCTTGTCTGCGTCCACGGCCATTACTGCTTGTTGTCCCCCCAACCAATAAACCGAATCCTTTGTTTGATCTACCGGACACCTGACTTCCATTCTAATAGTTATGCATCAACGGCATAAGTAAGACCCGTTGAAATTCTAGCACTCATAGAGGTTAACAAAGGCGAAGCCGGTACTAGCTCCTTGCACGAATTTTGGGCCTGCGGCGTAAGATTCTACGAACAGAGTGCCTAGGGAATGGATGTTATACGCAGCAAGTTTGGCCTCCTTGCCAGTTTTCTTACGGAGCTCTAAGCATTTTTCGAACAATGGCTCAACAACTTCCCTACATTAAACGAACATCACAGTGAGCGATGGCCAGAAGCATCTGTGGATTAAGGAAATTTACGTGCCTCATCAGCCGGTCTCAGACCAATGTACTCTGACAAAAGCAGTTATCTCTTATTTCGCGACAGTCGACGTGAGGCATAAACTCTTCCGAAAATGGTCATTAAAAACATCACCATACTGCTAATGTATGCAATATATACGGGTAAGCGGTATCCACAAAATGTACCTGGCAGACCCTTCTGTGAACTCTTGAATCGTGTGTTTTCATGACGACTTGGGAAAGCACTTCCAAGCCATGAGTAGCTAATAGTCTATCATTCCCCTTACATTACCGAGATAGTCGAAAGCGGCTCGTACATCCAAACCGTTCTTACGGCCTCGCCAAGTAATGTCCAACTTAACTTGGATGTTCTTAAGCCGTCATTAGCAGTATTCCCCAGAGCTCAGAAGATATGAACCTAAACTTTCGACACGTCCTTAGATAGAAGAGATTGCATACATGCACTTGCCATGACATGTAAGTTCGAGTTACGCTATACACGGCTGCATGCTGACTTTTGGTTGGTCGTCTTTTCAGTGAGTTGTAAGCCAAGTGCCACTAATTATTTTTATTTAATAAATTTTCGCTGCTTGTCTAAGTTCAGTCGTACTCATAGGTCGGTGGTTAAAACGTAGACCAGCGGCCGTGCTTAATTGGTGACCCAACTGACCTCATATTGCTAGTCAATCACATAACGAATAATCGTCTTCCATTGCAGCCGTTCAGCGGCTGACTCCACTGCTAATGTGGTCTCGCTTTTTAGGCCCAAGAGCGTAGTTCTGGGGAATTGTTGGAGGCCACCCTTCACCACGTCGTTAATTGGCCACGCTTATGACCTCATTAACTCTAGCCGGACTAAACCAAGGTTGTACCTTTCGCGGTTTTGTCCTCGCCACCCGAATCAGTGAGTAGTGGGGGAAGCTGCCAAGTTATCTTCCTGACTGACAACGTTGACGTTTGTGAGAGACGCAATTGGAGGAACAAACTCGGCAAACAGCTGGCCAGCTCGTGGACACGCCTCACTTTCTAGCCACGAGATTCAAATCCCCATATGAGGAAGGAAGAGTGCTTCATTGGCCAATTCCTGACTACTGTCTTAGTTCCATTGTAAAGGGCCATTTTCTTCATATCACCACCACCCAGCGTTGAAGTTAACATAGCAGCACATACGCCTTTGATAATGCTAGTTCGACCTCTGCAGGCCATGAGGTCCACCATTACTCACAAGGTGGACGTAACCGTGATTCACGCTTGATTTCGTTCATATTCAGGAGACTTTCACCACATCCTCGTCATCGCTCTCCCACGCCCACCGCTTCTCTACGCTAAGTCAGATGCAAGGTGGCTTAAGCTGCGTGTGAGTGCAGTGGCTAACAAGGCCAGACAGCATATCTGCGTGTACTAGTACTAATTAGCACCTACTTCCATACGAGCAAGGCTTCAGAGAAAGGGGTGTCTAAAGTTTCTTATCAAAGAGAGCTGCCATAAACTCCACATCAAATAGGAACAGTTGCAGCTTGACCCTCAGTCCTTAGTAGAACTGAGTTTTCCTGCCATTTTCGAACCTTCCAGGCTACGGTTAGTAACTTATCTTGATACATTAAAAGCAAGCTTAGTCGCTTTCAGCGGGGGAATTAGGCTCTAAGCCAACGCCATCCCTTTTTCTTGCCCTTGTGCTAGTTGTTTGTCCGTTCCGAACGCGGCGACTGACATGATACAAGGTCGCCATCTAACGTAGTCTTTTTTCCGGGCTTGGACCTCGCGCTTTTGAAAGTTTCTGTAAGGACCACCCACAGAAAGAGTTGTTGCAGCCTGGTACGGCCTAGAAGGGGGTCGAATTATTCCTTCGACGGGCAGCCTTCGATGCGTTTTGGTTTGTCCAAACGCTCGAGATCTGTTATAGTAACTGTTGAGTTGGCTTGTCGTGAGGATGAATTTCTCACTATATCTCTTCGCTCTTCCATGCGCCATTGACGTTTTCAACCCCACCATGATCTGAGGTGTCAGGAAGGCCTCCATCTGATGTGTGCCACACGCGCCAGTCCTTCATCGCATATGGTCAGACTTCATCCATAATCACGCATCTCATACGACGTCACTTTGCATCACGTAGTTTTTGTGCAATCGACCTGTCGTGCTTTGCTAATGGTCGACTGACGCATGCGTGTGATCCACCACAGAACCGTGCACAGCCTAGATGTGTTTCTGCTTGCCTCTGTAAGTGAAGTGTGGACTAGGATGTTATGTTAAACGTTTACGTGTATATGAATATAGCTGAATGGGCATTTGCGGGGTCCGGACGTCATGGGACAGTGTGAACAGAGAGAGAGAGACGTTCAATCAAACTCCAGTTACTTTGGTGAATTTGTAAGTGGTCGACCACACCGGCATGTACTTGGGATTTGCGGTCGTATTGTGGGCAGTTTGACACTGTCTACATTTCTGACTGCCGACCGACGTCCTTTGTATAATCCTAATGTTCCCTCCACGGTGAATGCGAAGATGCCCGATTAGGGTAAACCGGTACAATAAGGCGGCTGGACTGTAAGGACAGGTAAGAGGAGTGCCTTCAGCGATGACGCTGGTGGTGGTGGAGATGGTGTTTTGTTGTTTTCGAAGCAGATAGATCCTATTGATATGGTGGGTCCGAAGGTACTACACGAGCCCTGAATATCATTTGAAAACGTACACGTATTGGCGGCCTTGGGTTTTGCGACATCGCCCCCGATGTTCGCCTCGTTCTTGTCTACATTATTCGACTGGTTTCAAAATTTGCAGCCCTAGTTCTTACGCAATACTTTTGCCCTGCCTATGTTGTTCGAGGCCATTCTTATTAGGTTGGCGGAGTTACAGATGCTTCGCGGTGTCATTGTATTGTCGCCTTTATCCGTCTCGTTTAGGAATTCCTAGTGCGACGTCGCCATAGAAAGTTCAATTGGACAGACTCTGGATCACAATACCAAAAAATGCACAATGGCATCGCTAGTCGCATCGGTTCTCAGAACATAGGTGCAGTTTTTACTTGATCACGGCCGTTGGTTTAGACTGCACACTTATATGAAACTTGTGGGCTGGCCGGATAGACACCAGTCACTAAAGGCAGACCCTGCCTTTTTCAACAATATCGTCAGCACCATACCATAGATGCACTTTTCTTCTACTTTGCAGTGAGACTGTTTAAACCGTTCTCACCCAATGCATCATTTAGAAATCAGACCCAGTCGCTATTTACGGAGGAGGGGGGGGGGGTCAATGCCAGATTATAGTTGTGCAGACTGTAAGGAATGTGCCTTAATCGAGGAAGAAGCTCTAGAAAGCGGGCTGTCCTGGACGTAGTTAATGTTCTTACCGGATCCTATTTCAGTGTTCCCGTGGACAGGTCCTGTTCCTCGTTCCCAACCCGCAACTGCTGCAGGTTACAGCTTTTGCCAGATCTTATTACTTTTTGGAACATACAAGTTTCTATCGGGCGGTCAAACGTCTCGCTTTCGTCCCTCTATTTCAATGACTACGTTGGCTTCAATAAATATGTTCAATTTTCCCCAAGATCTTACAATGCGTTAACGTCAGAGCCACCACCCAGGTAACTAACTGATGATTGCAGACGGAAATTAGACCTGTTGACGTTTAGAGGATTTCACCCCTGCACAACTTGCAGCCTTTATATTTTTTTACCTGCCTTATAGGAACCTACGATGAATGGGGTAATTGCGGTGTTCTTTTTACCTAGCGAGGCCTCCACCGTAATTCCTTGCCAGTCAGTGTGAAAATCAAATCAGACCAAGTAAACGAAGTTCTTGCGAACCTCTTCAATAGAGTGACAGTCCAGCTAATTTGGTCCTCTTAGTGGATTCAAACTAATTTGCCGTTTACATAAGTACACTTCTCGAAGTACTTTAGAAGATCACGCCTTCCTGCCTGTGAACCAAAGAATGTCTAGAAGCCGACCACGCGATTGGAGATAAGCATTAGTAACAGTGGACGGCCACCCATTAAGATCGTTTTTTAAATAAACGTTAGGAGGGGCATGCAGGGAAGGTCGAGCTTGCAGCCTACATCAGAAACTCTCCACTCAGGCGGATTTCAATAACGATTTTTGAAAGGCTAAGGACCCACCTTCGCGGTACCGTCGGTTCTGTTTTTATTGACGCATCTTTCTGCTATCTGTATAAGCATTCTGTCTGTCTACCTGCCCGCGCTGGCACACAATCTTACATGGCCTCACACGCCATTTTCAAAAGGTTTTGGTCGAACAGTATGAGAAGGAAGGGCCGGTCTCCTGTACCCAAATACTTGTGTTCCTGGGTTCCCTCTTGGGTTTCAAGAACTTTATACTTATTGCCCTGCCCCTCATATATATAAAACAAAACTTGTAGAATCCCGTCTCCCGAGCTTATGCATGGTGCTTATTTTGTTGCGTTGTTTGCAGGCTGGTACACGACTGTTTGGAGGATTTGAGTGCCCTCAAAAACGAGATTTCGGCTTACTGTTCCTCATCCGTGATGAACCAACTACTGCTTGATCCACATTCGTCCGAGAAATCAGTTCGTGTGGACGATGTGCGCTGTGCTTGCCGGTTAGTTTACATTCATGTCCTCTTCTCTCTGGCATACAATGCAACCAGGCGCCTTAAGTTACTTATGCGTCTGCCGATTATTTGCACAACAGTAGATCATTTCATTTGTGTATTTAGTAGGAAGGACTCTCATTTGCAGACTCTAATTGCCACCAAAGAGTGCTCGAACATAATTTTTTTATTGGTCCTCCCGTTTCCACAGAATGACCAACTTGCGCGGTGCCAACTTCTTTTCTTCTTGTTGGTTCTCGGTAAATGCGGATGAACTATCGTCGGAGGACGAGATAAAGGAGGCTTCCATGGCCAGTGATTATGGTGCATTGGTTCGCCACTCGCCTCCCATTTCCATACAAAATCGTTCGCAGACGACAATGCGCACCAGCATGATTAAAAGAAACTACGTATGCAACCACTCACCATACTTCCACCAACGAGATATTGCTGGCATATTCAGCACACACAAATTTACCCGTATTAGTGTAGGCCGGTCCGACGTTCTTGACACAGCCGTAACTTCGATTCTTAAATTACCCTCGACTTTGCCTCCTGTTGTCGGTTCAGATAACTTTTTGGACGAGGGTACTATGAGTTTGCCTTCCAAGCGTTCCAGTGAAACTCAGGAAGCAGTGACGAGTAGGCTTATCCCGCAAGTCTTTCCACAGAGCGCTGATGCCTTTTCAACGAACATTCCAAAGTCAAGGTCACGAAAGACCGCAACATCGACGTTCAGTCGCATGGAGCAACCAAAAAGCAGCCAAGTTCCTGCTCCCCCTCCTCCTCATTATCATCATAATCCATTCCTTAAGCAGGACACGCTGTCGTCGCAGGATCCCGAACCACATCATATTATTCCCAAAAGCCCCATGGTCATTATGTCCGAATGGAACTTAAGTAGGTTAGCCAACACAAACCATAGAAAATCCTATGAGGGTGCTGCCTCAACAGCCCTATTCAAAACATCCCCACTTGAATCGCCGCCCCACAAACAGCAGCGTGTTACTCAGTTACAGCTTCCAACTCAGGAAAGTCCTGATGTCGGGGATGGGAACCGGCGGGTTGACGAGTGCATCGCCGAATTTAACACCCTGAATGTGAAGCCATGTCAGTATCGCTGCCCACTTCATCATTCTTCTGCTAAAACGTCCAGAACCCAACGGTTCGTCTGCACAGATGAAAGTTCTCCAGCTCTACCTCCCTCCCCGTCGAACCTTTCTAATAATGTGCAAGATGGCTCTCATCTCACTTCGCCTCGATCGCCTTTGGGGTCTAGGAAATTAGGGGCAATGCATGAGTCCTCATCGTCAGCCAGCCTTTCCAGGTCATTTAACCTCAGAACCGGTCTCCCGTTGCAATCTTCACCGGTAAGTACACAACTGTTGCTCCCCTGCTTTCCTTATCTGCTCCCTCACTTTCCGTTTCCTCTGCCCCTTGTCTAAACTTTCCTAATGTTGCCATTGGACTGCCACTTTTGACTTTCAATCCTGAATCGCCTTGATTAACTAGAAGAGTATTACAGGACATCTCTATCCACGCAGAACAGTTCGACCGTCGTGACCGACGATGTCCACTGCTAGCTCCACAGCAGGGTGAGAATAGGCACGTTAACTCGCTGCGAAGCTCTCGTAATATGCATTCTGATGCAGCGTGTGCGCTTTATAGTCAGCGAATTTTCGCCATTGTCAAGTGGCCAAGTGGAAGCTATCTATCACCAACTCGCTTCCGGTCTGCATTGAAACCCTTTTTCATTAGTAAAGATTAGTCCGCACCTTCTCAGACACTTAGCTAGGTCTATTTAAACCCGTTTCTGTAGTCGACTTTCTCGCAGGTTATTAATTCAAAAATGTGGGAAAGGACCTTCTCCGGATAGCTCGGACTTCATTTCCCATTCCTTGGCTTCCAAGGTAGGTAGCTTCATTTCTCCCGCGTAAAAATAACGTGTGGGACGCCATCCTCGCTTCATGGCTGCGGACAGTTCTATTCTATGGAGACTGTTTATACTTTTGTAAGAATTGTGTTGGTGGGCTTTTCAGTACACAGCAGAACAGCCGTCCGCCTGGCTGATTACCCTAAAAAAGCGTGCGCGCTCATCATGACCAGCCTCACACAATGCTTCGTGATTTAGAGTGTAGGATGTAGAAAATCTGAAAATGCATTTCAAAGGGAAAATTCCATCGTCGTGACCGCAACTAAATTAAGGACATTAGCCTCACTAATTTGAATTTATCATGCTCAGCTCTCATCCTTGAGGCTGCAACTATTGGTGGGGATCGGAAAATCTGCTGAATGCGGAAACAGCCTTCACCTCGGATGTACTTTGCTGCCCCAGAGTCCAACATCCCTAGAGAGAAAGTACACAACATTCAGGCTGCATGGCCAGATGTTTCGTGATTGGGTCAGTAGGTTGAAATACTCTTTCGAACCGGGTATTTGATGCCTCTTCTAGAACTCGCCTAGGGAGCATAGTGGCCTGCTTTATAACTCCTGATACCGACAGTCTCCTTTTTGCATAAGATGTCGCATAACCAACCCACACGTCTTAATGATGGTACGTACGATCATTAAAGTCAAAGACATGTATTTTTTTTACTAGTGAACACTTAAGATAGAGCTGAGCAAACTTTATGACTTCTCGACTGTAAGCTGGTATCAGATGGATTATGGAGCAGGCATGAAATTAGTTGATTAAAACGATCTTTACGTCGTTAGCACTTAGATTATTCTCCACCTGAATGTTAATGGTCCCTGGTAGCCTCCGCCACTAAAGTCAAAAAATGGGAATCTACCATACTTGGGTGGATGATATTTCGATTCCGGCTCCCAGAGCCTGGATCATTTGTACTTTTTTGCCGATCTCATACCGAGATGTATTCTTGGAATTAACCCCAGCCAGCTGTTCCTTGCACGCCTTACCTCCCTGTTCCCTCTTGGAGTTTCCGCGCTCACTCACTCTTGCCTCCCCTTTCTAGGCTTTTCATTGTCTTCACTTACATCCAACGATCAGTACTGGTAACCTAAGCGCACGCTAGCGGGCGTGACAATATCTGAACTTGCGCTGACGTAGAAATTAGGCTTGTCAGAGTAGCTGACAGTAGTTAGTTGTAAGTCAGTAGCTGACCCGGTTGTCTTTGCGGAGTTTGTCACCACAGCATCAGTTACCAGAACCAAAAAAGGACAGTAGAAAGCATCATCGGGTCACTAGATATGAATCAGGGCAGGGTCGGTTTACACCGTCCTGGTCCGAGGTGCAAGCGCAATGTGGGCAAGGTTAAAACGGAAAAGGGCAACCTGAGGTTTCGGTGTAGAGGTGGGGTTTTGGCTAGTGTCAGGCTAAGAATTAAGTTTAGGGTTGGAGTTAGTGTTAAGCTTAAGGGCACCGGTTAGAGTAAGGGTTTGGATTGCGGTTTACGTTTACGTTTTGCGTTAAGGTTGGGGTTAGGGTAGGGTTATGGTTAAGATTGGGGTTAGGGTTTGAGCTAAGGTTAGGGCAAGGATTTGGGTCAGGGTTAAGATTAGGCTTAGGGTTGGGACTAGGGTTTGTGGTAGGTTTAGTGTTAAATTAAGGGTTAGCGTTAGGTTTATAATTCCGCTAAGGATGAGGTTTACTTTACTCCTCTGCAGTTAGGTTTGTCGTTAGCTTGGGGCTATTGCTGCCTCGCGTGTCCTGCCAGCCAGGTCATTTTCGGGGATTTGAGGCCTTCTTCAATCTCACAACAGATTTGTCACACACAGCAGGTTGCCTTTTCCGTTTAAACCTCGGCTACTTTCCCTACTAACGACTTCAGTATACCCTTCGGCCTACCTTCCTTTCAAAGCCCACATTGCACCAGGGCTTGGGACCAGGACAGCATAATTGACCCCTGCCGGGCCAGGTTTCTCAAGACAGTGTCACAAGTCTAGTAATTCTCGGTCTCACAGAATGACTTAGAGGACTCTGACGTTTAGCTGCTGCAACTGAAATCGACAATAAGCATTGCTTACGTCATGTCACCCGCATGCCCCTACCGGCGTTTGGCGCGTGAGCGTTCATTTGCTGACGGTGACGCTCAACAGAAAATAAAACAAGGCGATAAGGTCATAAAGCAAATGCCACTTGTAGGAATTCCTTTGTCGCCCCTTAGGACGCTCGGATGCAGTAGTCTTCCCAGTGCTAGGCTCATTTAAAGTACTCTAGTTTCAGTTGAGCGAAATTGGCAGTGCTAATCACAGTCTTTGTTAATTCATTTACATGCGACCACCGAAACACAGTCTTTAAGTTCCCTAAGGACCTTGACATTTACGTCTTCCCACGATGTTTACTTTTTGAAACATCTTATCGCTGATATGAACGAGCTCTAGACCTCCATTATTTGTTGTCGGCATATTCCTGATACCAAACGGAACATTTATTTTTCTCTGCCCATTTGCCCTTTGCCCTCCTTATTTTATTTTAATAATTTATTTTTCTCTAGGTTCCAGTAAAACGCAACAACTCCACGAGTTTCGACTTTGACGACTCGCTGGTTTCATACAGGCCTTCAGTAAGGTGGGTTGAGACTGCACTGGATCCTCCCTTATGCGAATTTCCACAGTTTGAGTTTAATTTAAGACACGAAGCAGGCCAAATGAAATCACTTTATTCATAAGAAGGAGCCTCGATAGTATATTACGGTTGCAAGCAAAACGCCGTAATTGTCAAACGTCCTCGCGGCTGACCTAAGCTTGCATCTGCACTCTACTATTTTCCGGCTACAAAATAACTTAAGGGCGTTATTTGAAGGTAGAATTTGGTCCTTGGTCACCCTTTTCGGACGTATTTCTCCCCTCCCTCACGACTGTCGCAACAGTCGCCATCAGTACCACCAGCACGACCGCTGCCACAATCGGCGGCGGCGCGGCGCCAGCAAGTACAGCGTTAGTCGCAGCACTGCTGCCGCTAGTACGACTGCTGCCGGTTCGACTATCGGGAACGATTATGCTTACTGTGCGCCCCACGGTGTGGTGGGCGCAGAACGGTGGCTTGCGCGCGAATTAGTGCAAAATACTAGCGGACTTGCGCAGCGTCTGCCGCACTCCCTCCTCCCTCACCTGCCAGGACCCGGTGGCAAAGACAGAGTGGGGACTACCGGGGCGAGCCAGGGCGCGGTGGACGACAAAGCCAGGCAGCTCGTTTACGCGTGACGCACCCAACCTGGTTCCCGCATGATTCATCAGGTTTTCACTACAGGGGGCGGTTCAGATCTGACCAAAGTGGGAGTGTCATAGAGACCACATCCAGAAGGAGCCACTGAACCTGGCTCCCAGTCCTTCATTCGGTAGTCCTACATACGCACATACTGCTGAGTACTCTGGGTTATCCCGTCGGTCAGCAGTCTTTCAGGCCACGACTTTTAGCGCGTCGTGATAGTCTCAGACACGTCAGATCTATGACAGTGAGGAATTCAATGAAGTGCTGTGGGGATTAATTCTCTAGAGTTGACTTCACTTCGTCTTCCCTCCCCCCCTCATGCACTACTCCTCTGTCCGAGCATGTCAGTCATCGCGCGCGGAAATTGGACGCAGTGACTGACGAATCTAGGATAGCCCGCCCACTTTTGCCACACGACCTGTTGAGCAAATACTGCACTGGGGTACAGCAGCGAATCCACATCCCACTCGCGTGACAGCTGCATGTTTTTGGTGATGTGGAGCGGGTCTGGGAATGTGTGGGCTGCTAAGGCGAAATGCAGTGATGAGGTTTGAACTGTGAATTTTAACCGTAGGTTTTCATGGTGGTGCATACGACCAAGTAGGCTCATGTGGTTTCTGAATTTCCTGGGACATCTTGAACAGGCGAAGTGCGTGTGGGGTCTCCATGCTCCGGCTCGCCGGTCTCGGTGACGGATTCACAAGTGACCTGTCAGGCTAATGCAGGATGAGAAAGTGCGATCGCCATGGGAGCGGCTTGGGACCGAATCCGTATTGCTGGTGGAAGAAACGATATTAGTGGTGGCCGACGGGGCGTTGGTGTTGTGGTTGTGGAAACGGTGAAGACTAGTTTAACTTTGTTAGACTTAAATAGAACTTAAAATACGCAGCTGAGCTCGCGGGAAGTAGTTATTAGGTTGATCTGTCTTTTGAGGTTGTTTGATAAACTAGCGTAACCGTGACAGCACTGTTTGTTTAGGGCCACAGTGGACAGTTTCTATGTCCATCTCTTAAGTATGAACTTTCTGTCCCACGCAACTGCTCACACGAATCACATCAGCTGAAATGGTCATGGTCGTTGACGTACACTGCGTACCGTCTTTCTTTTGGACATACTTTCATCAAAAATCTTTCATGTGGGAAATCGCATCTCACTTCTTAAAAAGGCGGAAAGATCTCGTCCCTTGTGGGATGTTGTGGCCTAGACAACCCGGGGTACCCCGCACTACACTAGTTTGTTTAACTCTACCGAGCGCCTTGAAATGCCGCTTAGCCAGTTTCCTTAATGTGCTCATTTCTACGTAAGGGCGAACATTGCAACCAGCCGGTTGCTCTAACAATGTCTAGTCCACTTCCGTGAAAATATGGGCCAGTGAGCAGTAACTCTATCAAGTTTACACTTCCGGCTCGTTAGAAGAAATGCGGCCTTCCGATCCAGCCTTAAAAGCCATGTTGAATGTTGGGTTTGGAAATGCAGTCCTTAGCTATCAAGAGGATTTGAGAGATTGTAAAAGATGACTGCATGCCGTCTGCAGTCCGTTGAACGATTTTCATGCCAATCAAACTGTCGTTCTGACATAATTCCGGCCAAATACCTACTTAGTGTTATAGAACACTAACACTAACTTTACGCTCACTGTGCGCAACTCAGATGATTTTCGTGAATGTCATCAACGGAATTTCCCTTAACTCATTGAGCGTGTCTGTAGCGGATCGACAGTGTCAGGTTGCTTCTGAGAGACTTGTTAGCATCATATCCGCAGGACGGCTGTATCTGGGGGTACTTTCACTGTGCCCTGTATATTTTAATGCTGATGCATTAGAGGTGGTGTTTGAGCGATGGCGTGAACAGCACTCCCACTATATTGTTGAAACCTCACTCATTAAGGAGTGTTGATCGGGCTGATTTATCTCGCTGATCCGACTTGTTTAATGACAGTTGGATCTTCGGCACAGGCGACGTCTAAGTTTTGCCCTACAGCGGGATGTGCGCAGGGAAGGTGACTTGTGCGTGAGTTTGTTTAGAGCGATTGCAGACTCGTGCTGCATCTACCGCACTTTTTCTTCACCCTCTTGGGCACGGTGTCGAGACAGCGTCAAGAAGACTGGAGGTGGGTCGGGCTAACAAGACTAAAAGGCCTGCCTGCGTGTGCAACACGTGCCTGGTCCACGCACAATGAACCGGGATTTCACCAAAACAGCGAGTGACGGCTCGGATCCTGACGGATTCAGTGCCATAAATGTCATATTAAGGCGCCATTGTACCCAGTCTCTCCGTCCTGAGAGAAAGACCGAGTTATCCTGTCAGTTGGCAGTCTGGTCAGATGTGGTTTTGTAGCCCCGCCTGAAGTAAACAAACGTTGGTCACCTCTAATAGGGGACCGGTGGTAATAGGGGTTTTTACAGGTGGAGCCGGGAAACGCACAGGCGACGAGTTCAAGTAGTTGTGTGCAAAAGAAAAGCTATTGGGAGTGCGTGGTTGTACTTTCAATGGCGGAGAAATAGTTGCGCTAACCCTAACCATAACCCGCAACCATAAATCCTACCCCCTAACCCTTAACCCCGACCCCAACAGTATTGTGTCCATCAGGTGGGGCCATCAAACCACATCTTACCGCAGACTTCCAAACCACGGCTTTTGGCGCACCGTTATAGTTTAAAGGAGCGTTAGATTGTTCAGTAAGTGATCTACGTTGGATGCCGTAGCGACGCAGTTCCCAGCGTCCACTTCACTCTCCTCCCTCTCCTAGGCATCAATGCACTGTCCGAGCCGGGCAGTCATCTGGTACGGAGATTGGGCGCAGGGACCGACAGAACTAGACAGCGGTTTGCGCGTACCATGCACACTACCTGGCCCCCAGCACAGCACACCAGGATTTCACGGAACTACATTAAGAACTACACCAAAAAACCACCACAGTCTGACTACTTTTCAAATACGGACCAAAACACCCTCTCACCTGTCCATGTTATGACTTTTAGTGAGTGGTGACATCTCAAACACATTGGATCTAATTTATGAGGAATGCGGCATTTGTCGTGATGATAGTTTCTCCAGTTTTAGCCACTCTCTCTCTCATGCAACAGTCGCTTGTCTGGCCTGTCAACCAACCGGTAATGAGATTGGGCGTGACTTGCGTCTTTGTCTAACGACTGCAACGCGAATGCGCAAGCACAGTTGTGAACTCACGCAGATTCGGAGCAGTCCAACTAACAGAACGCTGCCTCCTTTTTCGCCCATCCCAAATTCGGTGTAGCACAGTTTCCAGTAGGAAAAAAAATAGGGGAGTAAGTGGTGTCTAGACAGTGGATTCAACCCAAGTAAAAAGATCGCTGAGGAGTATAAACAGTAGACAGTAGACATACCTCTGCCAACTGCTCTTTTAGAGTTTCTCAACGATGGCCTGGCGAAGTTCCTTCCGCGTGGAAGCTTGAGGATGAATACCACACGGAGGAGTGGAGAGGGGGGCAGTCAAAGAAGACCGTGGGAGTAAAAGACGGGGCATGCTCACAAGAAAAGTGGGTAAATGGGTATTAACGAAACACTGCGCATGCATCTGTGAATGCGCATATAGTGGGAAAGTGTAGGGAGTACCGGAGTAGGAGTGAAACGAACAGACTCTCTGTCGCTTTTTAATTTCCCCAGAAATTATCTACGAACTCGGAGAATATCAGTTTATTCAAGGTCTATAGGTACAGACCGAGCATTTTATTTATGAATATTTGGGACGAGGTCCATCAGGCACGGCGGATAACCGCATAATATTCATTAACTGCCGACAGGCAGCTACTAGTGGTATACTCTATTCACGCCCCGTCAAGCTTTGTTAATTTGCCTATTCTTACTCTGGCTTTTGCCTGCGTCTCCGCCAAGATTCAACATACTGGTCATGACATGAAAAGCGCTTCGAATGGTAGGTCAAGTCTCGGTAAGTAATCATTATGATGACTGCACCGATACGACTGGTTTAGGCTTTGTTGACGGAGCAGTAACGCGAAACTGCTCTTACTTTGCCACTTCACCGGCATCTACTTGAGTTCGTAGGAAATACAGAAAGTTCACCTCCAAGCTAGTTCGTCGACAGATAACGACGTGAACAGACTTAGCAGCCTATCTCGAGTAAGATCTGTCGGCAGAGATTACCTCTGATGACTGTAAATATTCCCTTATTATTTTTGGAAACCACAGCAACTTAAACTGACAATCCGTAGTCTCGTGAACAGAGAGCTTCATAGTTTTGACTGGGCCGCATTTTAGCTGACACCGACCTCCTCCTTCTTTCACAGGCTAATGTCCGGCTCTTTCCGCCAGTGTTTTCTTGTCATTATCAGTATGTATAAGCACAACGGACACCGTCTCCCCTCATTTCCTCCTGACCCTCTTGTCTTACTGAATTACGCGTCGGGTGGATGGGAATTTTAAGCACCGTGCGTATCAGTAAGATTTCCACTGAAGCTGATGGCGCTAGGATACAAATCCAGTTTCCTCACCCAGAAAATGTGTTTAGTACGGAAAAATGGGACCCCTCATCCTTATCATCTAATTTCTCCCCCCAGTCTTCAGACTTTTACACCGCAGCCGAAACACGTGACGGCCTGGGCGTCAACGGACGCGGCACCTGATCAGTTGTCACCTGTCAGCGTGCCATCATTGTCTACTGCTGCTGCCGCTGGCGCTCAAGTATCGGCCCCGTCAGCAGCCGTCAGCATTATCGCCACCACCCAGTCCAACCTATCCGTCGGCCCGCAGTATGGCAAGGCTCAGAAACGTCCCAACACACTCTCTCTCAAAGGCTCTACCAACGAACGGCGCACCTCAAAACGGTCTGCTACCACCGCCTCTGACACCAACAAGTTCAGCTGTAGCGCTCCGGCCCCTTCCACTTACCTCTGTCTGTCTGGCGCCTTTCACACACCCACTTCCAATGAGGTTCTTCCCTCTGGTGGTGCTGTCACCACTCCTCAACCAATCACTTCTCAGCATCTTCTTATTAACTTTGAGGTTAGCCGTTAGTGGATCCTCTTTCTACCTGCATCTTGCCCATCCTCGTTATCGCACTTCATTTTTAGGTGCTCCCTAGCTGCAATACTAAAAGAGCATTTCTTAGATTGTGTAATAAGGACGCGGGTAGTTACATCTCCTCCAAAACTAGCATTTTTATTGGTGGATCATTAGTCCGCCGTCATGTTTTACGCCATATTACTTATTGCGCGATATTGACAAATGATAATCGTTATTGCCATTCTTATTGATATCACTGTTTTAAAATCTGCGGACTAGTGCGCTGCCTAATAACGCCCAAATCGTTCACCCAACACTGGCACTGGAGATATAGTGACTGTCGAATTGTTGCATTAAGGCTTAAACTTCTGATCGATTCTCTTTGGGCAGTCGGCCAAAAACTGATCGCCCTTCATAAAATTAAAAATATGTGTTCCATAATGTTAGTGTAAGTGCCCTGCAAAGATCTTTTAGATGTGAAAAAGTGCCCTCCCTCCAGAAAGCTCCCCGGATCGCATCGACCTTTTTGTTTCACGGTGGTACATAAAAAACCAAAGACTTAGATGTAACTGTAGCGTCTGTTTATCATAGCAGACTGTGGGAACTGGGAGGATTCGCGCTGCCGAAAAACTCTTACTGTGAACCAGGATGGAACCGTCGACCACCTGAATTCACACCGATTGGCCCACCTACTGATTCATTGCAGCCACGCCTGCCGTCTCTGCGAATCAAAGCCTAATTTGTTCTTAGTGCAAATGGGTCCATGTTTCTAGTTAAGTTATCGGTGGAACTCTAGACCTTGATGGCCTAAACCCCTGAATGTAACTTGCTGCATTCCGCCCTCTCAGGGTTCACTCAGAATACATCGTTAATTTACTTAACATTTGTATGGCTTTGGCACCATGTATCCTCCGCCTGATGATATGCTTTCCCTTGTTCGCAGTCTCTTTGGACATGTGATACAGTGCAACTTCCTGACCGCATATGACCGTCGACGTGTTCCGGACCTTAGCACACTTTTACGATAACTAGATACATTCAACCGTATTGAATCTTTTACCTTTATCAAAGAAGCTTAGAGGCACCTAGATTGAATCGTCAGCCTCCTACTCCCACTCCGTCTAAATGACCAGGCAGGAGTCACTTCGGCAGTCGAAACCGCACAAGCATTTGTCACCACCACATCTCATTGCTCATATTTTCCGACGAGCACATAACCCATTAGGCGTCGGTAGTGACCAGACCGACCGGAGCTACCAGGGTAGTTTCTATCTCAAGGGGATACTTGGTTTTTGAAATTGTACCCGGCCGTACTAAGTGAACTGTTTCAGCCCTCTTTCACTCTTTCCTGGAATACGAAGCATGTTCTGCCGCAAAGTACTCCTTATCTGGGAAGAGTAAGGTACTTTCAGCTTTCTTGTTGAGCGGATTACAATTTCTCGATCTGGCGTCGCTAACCCTAATCTATAACTCATTTTCGGGTAAAAACTGCTCCTCTCTAGACTCGAGGACGTTTTATGAAATGCTGATTGTGGCTATACACGTCGTCGAAAGGATGCGGACGGGAGCACCACCCATCATCACCCCAATTCTCCTATCAGAGTGACTTCGTCCACTTTATCAGCTTGCAATGTTGATGTTCTCCTTGGTAGTCCCACAACCCAACTTTGCCCGCGTGCAAATGACCCTATACGAGGTGGACATTGCCGCTCTCAATAACATCCCGTACTCCGAATAACGACAGCTAAATGAGGTCGGCACAGGATACACTTTCTTTTTATATTGACAATCCGGAGAAAGAAGGGCGAGAGGTTGAAGCAACGACATCGTCAGAAAGTTACCTTATTGGGACTTGGACTCAACGATCGTCTCACAAGAATGAGGCTTCCCCCTCCAGGGGATAAATTCACCACGGTCGTCAGCGCCTACTTCTCCAAATGACAATTCATAACAACATGAAAGACAAATTCTACAAGGAATTGTCCACCCTCCCGCCGCCCGTGTCAAAGACAGGCAAACTTACAGTTGTTGGCGATTTTAGTGCAGGAGCAAGTGCAGATCACGTTTCCTGGGAAAGAGTGCTCGGTCATCACGGCGTGGACACCCGCACCGGTAGTTGGACCCCCTGCTGAAAACCAGCTTAGAACACAGTCGCTCCACCAACAACACTGTCTTTCACCTTTTCAACCACAATAGGATCACGAAGGCACACCTCCGTTCTCGCTACCGACACCTAATGCGCTATGTGCTCGTCGGAAAATATGAGCAATGAGATGTGGTGGTGACAAATGCTTGTGCGGTTTCGACTGCCGAAGTGACTCCCATCTGGTCATTTAGACGGAGTGGGAGTAGGAGGCTGAAAATTCAATCTAGGAGACTGCCTCTGGGGAAGAAAGCACCAGCGACGTTGCACCCAGCAAAAGTGGACAACGCTGAACTCAGACTGGATCTCGTCAGATTCCTGAACACCAATCTAGAGCAGATACAACCATGTTGGAAGCAGATGAAACAGGCTGTAGGACGTCAATGACATTACAGCTGTGCGAGTCTGCAGTCAAGGACTCGAATCCTGAGAACAGCGGGGCTATTTCGATGGCGACGAAAGGTGCACGTCATCACATGGAAAAGAACCTGCCTTACAGGGCATATACGAACGGCGCGAACCGCCTCAAACAAACCCGCACTCTATCGCTGCCAAAGGCACCTGAAACGATAGCTGAAGGAGTTGCAGCGTAACTGGTCGACTGTCACTGCACATAAAATCTGAGGACTCACTGACTGTGAGGAATCACAGAACATCTTCGCCACCATAGAGGCAGCATGCAACTCTTAACACACCAGACCGAGCCGGTGCTTAACTTAGCCGGAACAACCGCGTTCTTGGACAAATTGCTAATCGTAGAGTGCGGGACTGAATACTTCAGGTGTATCATTAATCGTCCTTCTTCTGTCCGCGTTGAAGCCATCAACAAAACCTCTAAAGTGGAAATTAATGCTAACTTTGATTATCCATGTCCTTGCAAGAGACGATCAGGGTAGCCTGACAGATACACAGGTGCCCAATAGAAAATCCTTGAGTGCTGACTCGATTCAATTGAAAGTCTGTAACTATAGAGGTCGTCAACTTCTGTATAAACTGATACCGATGTGCACGGAGATGTGGTGACGCGTACGAGTTCCGCAGGACCTCGGAGACGCCGCTATTGCGTACTTCCACAAACCTAAAGGAAACCACAGGTGTGCGATTGCCAGTTGAGTTTCCTTCTTGCCTGTATGGCAAGTAAAAGATTTGCTTGCGTGTTTCTTAAGTGTTTGAAGTTTTGCCTGGTAAAAAGGCGTCTCCAACATGGGCTGTAATTGATAGAGCGCATTGTTTATCCACAAAAGAACCCGGCTCCTCACAAGCTTCCTTCCTCGATTGATTACACCGCCATGTCTACCACATACTCACGGCTGGACCTGCCTGAAATTCACCTCTATTACTGCTGTTTAAAACGACGTTTGCTCGTTAGGCAGCAATATCACCGACATCACAGGATACGTGTAAAACCATCGCGACACGCCTGAAGAACCACTTCCATGATACCCGAACAACACCCTGTTCTCACCATGCTGTTGAGCAGATGGTAAACATCGTCGGTAACGACGGTCGAACTGTCGGATTGAATTATCGACCCCAGCCCGCCCACTGCTTTGGTAACCTGAGTTTCACTGAGGCCTGCACAGTACTTATGGTGCGTTTTCATTCTTTTTGCGGTGTGTATTAGTGGGACAGACATACAACCCCAAGCTCCTGCCTGACATTTGGGTATGTAATTTTGCATGCATCGCTACTTTGTCTCCGTTCCGAATTTTTCTTCGCCTTGGCTTTTTATCGCGTCCTACCTTTTTCTCCCGGCTCCTTTTATACATTTCCTTTATTCCCCCTTCCGCCCCCCTCTGGTTCCAAATGTACTATTAGTGTGCGCAATACTGAGGCCGATTGAGCGTCACTGAGTAGACTCTGCGCAGAGAGGACTTACTCTGTCACTGGCAGCTACAGGTCCTGTGATTTCTGTCTTTTTTGTTTCGCTACTCCTTCGTCAATGTGTGTGTGGAACTGTAAGGTTTCTAAAGTGCTCACGTCTGCAAGCACCGCAATTTTACCTTTTCGGGCTTGCCATGGATGAAGGCACACTCCAACCCTCCGTGACTTCAGCTCTTGTGTGTATGTAAATGCCGTCTTGTACTTTATAACCCTGCACCACTGTGATCCACTAAAGTTGAGCGGGAATCACTACATCCCGCCTACACCGGAACAGTTAAAACTCATGACCGAAGTTTTCGATAAGGCTTTCAAGTGAAAATATTACCTAACTGAATTCGCGAAATTGTTCGGCGGTCAGCATGGTCATAAGTTAATTCCCCCATGATAACATGCGGGCTTTGAAATGAGCACTTTTTCAACCAACTTTGTAAATGCCGGTCGGGAAGAAATCACCACTTGAGGTGTTTGCTTTGTAAGTGGATTTTTTGACGCGTGAATACCCCCAGTCATATGTTTTTAGGTGGGATGCATTAAAAACCCATATATCATAATATTTTGCGCGGACCACGTTTTTTTGAGCTGTATGCCCGAGGGCGATAATTAGGGCTTGAAAGAGTTCAATACCCGCCCATTTTAAACACAGCTCAGCGTTGGAAAGGTAATACCGACAAAGACAAGGGAGACCGGAATGGCCATTTCTGGCTTATTAGCCGTCATCAGCCAGTCATACCCAACCCCAAGTGTGGATCACTTGAGATTCGAACCCGGGATCTTTGGTCATGGAGTTGAACGCTCTACCATTGAGCCACGGGCCCGTTGTCCTGTCGGCGTTGTCCTCAGCGTTCTCTACTGCTCTCAACGTACATACTATTTATGTTCTCTGATGCAAATTCAAATGGCCCTGCATGCCCAAATATAGAGGTCGCTTAGATTGTGCAGTTAAATAATCATTACATCCTCTTTTCCCCCACACTACTTCATTCCCAGCCCGTGTAAATGTTTTACCTACCGGCAGTTTGCAGTCCATTTTCGACGCTTTGTTTTTTTTTTATCATTCGATAGGATATTTCCCCCAATTGAGGACTTATGGTTGTTGGATGCCCCAGAGTATCACTGAAGGTTTCAGTGTTTAGCGTTTACACGCAGCACTATCCTTGACGCGTGCTAGACGATCTGGACCGTAGTACGGAAATTCCACCATGAACCCAGTTGGTTTCATGCCAACTTCCTGGGCATGTAACGTTAGTTAGGGGAGCAAACTGCTGACGCAATATTTTTATTCGCCTGACACTTCATTCACATTGGGGTTCTTCATCAGATAGAAGTGGCGGGCACACTGAAAGTGCAGTATTTATAGGATGTGGCAACTACGCTACTAGATGCTTAGTAAAATTAACATCCCTCATATTCATCGCAAATGATGGTGGGACGATTGCTTTGTCGCACACATCCAAGCTGTCAAGCTCCATGATTTCATCATTCGTGCCGGTGTTTGGCACGATAATTATACGCCCATCCTGTCCTTCACGATGATTTAGTCATCGTTAATCTCAAAGCCTTATTAGGGTGCCGCTGAATGAGTCGCATATCGCGAATTTGTTTGATTGATGCTTCCCCGGGCCGTAGGCCGCCAACAAGCACGCTGCTGTCCTACCTCCTCATTCAGCGCTTGCCCTTTGTCTGATAGCAGTTGCATTTTGGTGAGCCCATTAAGTATTATGACTCTGTCAGAGTAAACTAATTACTCATACTGCGATCGTCGTGTGTGTGTCCCCAAAACGGGCCACGTGATAGATGCTCTGGTCCAACCCGGGGGCCATATCGGATTCTGGCAGGCGTTATCGGATTGCGCATAGTTAAAAATGCCAACATTTCGGGGTGCGGGGGCAGACCTGGTTGCCGGCAGCCGTCGCGCACACTGGGACCCCTGCCGCCCCCCTCCCCCCGTAGTTGTTGTCGGTCAAAAACCTGGTCGTTTGCTGTGTGGACCAGGGGTGTGGAGTGGGGCGCCAAGGTGCGGGCTCGACCGTGCCATCCACCTGCGCCCTCTCCCGCCTCTGGTCTTCTTAACTCTGTCTTGACACCGGGTCCAAGTGGAGGAGGAGAGAGATCGGTAGATTCTGTGCAAGTCCACCATCACTATAAACTAATTCACGCACAAGTCACCGTTCCTGCTTCACCATGCTGTGGAGCAGAAGGTGGACATCGTTGGCAACGACGGTCAAACTGTCGTGTCGCGTGTGAACGCTGCCTCCATTGCCATCGCTGTTGGACAAAATTACTGAGTCATTATCCGGCTAATCGCTAACATCAGTGATGAAGCTGCGGTGATTAACGACTCGCATGAGGATAACTAAGCGATTATTGCACCAAACACAACCATCTGCGGTGAATGCACAACCTACTAATTTAGGTAGGCCTTTAATGGCGACGTATCTACTGCACCACCTGCGCGTTCGTCACCTCTATATGTTATGGTCCCTGGTGACCAGTTTGGTAAACGCCAGTTGGACAGAATCCTCATTCCAGCGTCCAGGTCTTCGTCCCATCGGCCGCCTGGAACTTGCCTTTCTACTTTTATTGGAAAGTGACTTTTTCGTTTGTCTTATATGCTGTCAAGGAATGCATACAGGCATCGTGTATCGCCGGAAACACACTGCTGAAGTGTCATTTTTTTCGGATACGACCTACGCAAGTGTTAGGGAAGGTACTTAATCAAATGCCAGATTTTTCCGCTACACGAACTCAGTCCTGCTGTTGTAGAAAGAATGTGAAAAAATATGGTAGCTGGTGCCCACCGATCTCGACCCTTTGTGCCTTGGGACTCGATCTAGAGCACCACAGGCAATTGCGCATCGACCATTAATGTATGCTGTTTGGAAAATATGATTTACTGTGCTCCATTTACAAGAAGTGACGTTCAATTTTAATTTGGTACTTGGATAAAGAGATATTTAACACTTTTCGACACGGGATTTTTTTGAAACTCGTTCGCTCGTTCATGCGACTTGCTGTCCTCTTCTTTACTAATGATGTGCAAATAGTAGGCGACCTGGTCCATATTGACCACCAGAGGACCTCTTTAGCTGGATATTTTGATTTCTATAAATCCTCTCCACTGAGAATACATAGTATGAAATTTTGAACTGTTAAGGACAGATACCAAGATGCACATATTGTCGACGCTTTTCTTCAGTTGCCAGATTTTTAAGGCAGGGTTTCCCATAAAATGTCCACAAGACGGTCAGTCAAAAGTCGGACTGGAACTGACTCAGGGTTAGGTTCCCTACCGATTAGTTCCGCAACTTTATCTAGGTAATGTTGTCAATTTTAAAGGGCATCGGCAAATTTTGGTGAATGCTTCAGGCGTTTCGACCCGTACCGCAGAGAGTTGAAGCTATGTCAAACTGTCAGTCTCTTGGTTGTAATGCAGATGGTCTTCGAGTGCAAATAAGCGATTTCCTCATAGTGGATTTCGATTTTCTCAGGGCATCCGTATCCCATTTTATTTGATACACTTAAAGGAGTAGGGTTGCGGACCTAACTTGCGTAATAGGTTAACTGCTTCGATTGTGTAGGCTGACTGATGTTGAATTCCGTTCTAACTTCTTGGCTTCAGTCCGGGATGCGTGCAGATGGTGACAGCCATACTCTCACGGCCAATGCCCGCACTATGGACTTCGCCCTATCGAAGTGTCATATTTTGGCAGTGCTGAACCGGGACTGACACAGCATCTGACGCCTGCGCCAAATACGCCTAACTGTGGTGTTGACATGATGTCACTATATTTGACAGCTCCTGCCACCTGTTCATGCAGTTGCATGAATCCTAAACGGCCACTGCAGCCTAAATACACATGCAGGCGTAATGCTTTCGACCACACCGGTCCAAAGAAAATCGGGCTCATAAACTGATTTACACATAAAATTGAATGTTTATATTCAGTGCAAAGTGTGGACCAGTCCATCACACCGAGCGCTTTTCGCCCAACCTGTCCCTGGTCGATAGACAAGTTTAATCAGCTAGGTCACCACGTAACTGTCCCCAATGTTAAAATTACTCGGAATTGAGTGGACCCGACCTACGGTGCCAGAAAATTCGAGACCCCCCTAATCGTTAACTTGAGACTTTCGGGTATGGCATCCTGTCACCCGCAGTCATTGCCTTAACTGTGCTTTCCGTGCAAATCGCCAGCCTCCGAAATTTACTGTTCCTCGACACGCTCAGTAGTGGATCGAGCGACCCCTCTGGTCAGGCATGCATATCATGTGGATAATAGTTGACCCTCGTAATTCACCAAGAATTGTTGCGTTCATTTAGCCACTTTTATCTAGACCTCAAAGTGGACAGTGTGTGAACCTGTGTTATTACGGTCTATGGTTCGGAGCCACAAGGTCGTCGAGGCGCCACTTTTTTCTCAGGGATCCCGCCTTCGTCTTCTTTGCAATTATAATAATGTTTTTCAGAGGAAGGATGACAATGCCAACGAAGACAAGGGAGTCTAGAATGACCGTTTCTGGCTTGTTAACCGTCATCAGCCAGCCCCGGGGTGTACAACTGCTCAGCCCTAACGCACAACGGGACAAGTGAGTTCCGTAAAAACGATCGGTGGGCGCACCTCTACCATTGTTAATATTCCCAATCGCAACCGGCAGGACAACGAACCCGTGGCTCTATGGTTAGGGCGTTGGACTTCTAACCAACAGGTCACGGATGCAGGCCTCCGGGCTGCACACCGTCAGATTGGGTATGGCTGACCGATGACGGCTGACAGGCCAGAAATGGCCATTCCTGTCTCCCTTGTCGGCAATGTCATTCTGCCTATAATACCAGCAGTTGAGCGGCCGCTGGCGGGGCTCGTAATTGAGCTCCAAGGCACAACGGGACAAGTGAGTCCGGTAACGCAATGGGTGAGCGCCCTTCTACCAGTGTTATTCACTGACTTTGGGGTTTCGCGTTCTTTTGCTGCCACGTCAATGAGCAACAGGACCGGCCTCTTCCGAATAGACCACAATCGAAACACACCCGTTGTCGCTTATTTTGCGCAAGCACAGCGCTCACTACTTATGTGGAACTTGGATACGGACTAGTTTTGTGCTGAAGACTGGCGTGTTTGAAGCCTAAACTCTGTCCGTTGTTAAATCTACCCAGACGACCCCTGCCGTCATAAGGCCAAACGTCTGTCATACCCCGAAACTTCCTCTTAGCGTCCCGTTTTTCCACCTATCTTACAGGAGAGCATGCTCAACGGACGTATACCGCCCTCGGGCGTTGTTGACGGCTTTCAATTAGAAATCGGAGCCAGTGGATCATTCTATCCCGCCCATCTGAAGCTGCCAGTTGTGGCCTACTTCTTCCATCTTTCTGAAGACAATGCTCCTTCGCCCTATCTTGGTTTTGTAGACCTTAGCAATCTTCCAAATAAACGCGGCTACCACGTTCCAAAGAAGGGCTCTATTCAGGTGAGTTTGAACTTTTGGTTCCTGTGTGGCTGAGAAGTACAACAGTTTAACATTCCTCTTTGGTTGCCACTTTTTATCTCCACTCACCCCCTCCCTCCTCAGATAAAGCCATCTGTCACAACTTCAGGGACTTGACGGCGGAGCAGACCGTACTGGTTACTCACAGCCGATATACAGGCGTGGGGACGCAGCCTTATGTAGCCCCGCACTTTGCCAGTTGCATCACTGATTCAGCCTCTTCATCATTTGCTCCGACGCTATGCGCCAGTGTCCTTAGTGGGTTGCTCTGCATCACCAATTCCTACCAGAACTATGGAAATTCTTTTGCTGACGCATCTATAACGGGAACTTCAGGGAACACGAAGGACTCCATAATTAGCCGGACCGTTCTGTAGCCACTTTTAGTTTGTACCAGTTTTATGTATCGTGAAGCGGTGTCCTGTGTATTCGCTACAGTCACAACAGATCCTGTGTTGTTCCGGCATCAAAAAAGTCCTGCCTCAACCTTCTCTTCTGCGTCTTGATCGTTGGAGGGAATCTCCCCATCTCCGTGAACGCTACTGGCTTGGCATGGTTTGGTGTGCATGACCTCACGTCCAATTTCCGCCCATGTGCCCGTGTCGTTTGCCAAGCCTTTGCTTCCATCATAGGCAAAAGAATATAAACACACAGTCAGACACGTCTCTACATTAGCACACTCATTGGATAGAATGGTTATTTTTAAATCAGCAGCCAGCTATCTGTATCTCACACCTTCATGCCAGGCTGACCGTTTGGCCTTCCATTGCGACAAAGCGATGTGGCGGCCTGCAACGTGGTAACTGATGAATCGACTCTCCTGCCACCTTTTTGCTTTATCCCATTCTCCGTCCTAATTTGGTTTCTTCACTGAAGACAACCTGGGGAGCCAGTGTTGAAAATTTACGGAATAAAGCTTGTTACGTTTCCTAGAGGACTTATTGCTTTTTAATAAAAATGTTGCTTATAATTCTGCTAGTCTCACCCATCTTCATCTTTTTTATTTTCAGTTGGCCCTTTTCAATCCCTCCAGCTCCCTGCTTAAAGTTTTTGTGATTCAATACGACCTGGAGGACATGCCAGCCAACTGTCAGACGTTTCTACGCCAACGTACGGTCTACGTGCCGGTTGAAAAGTGCCTTGACGACTTCCCAAACGACAGCGGTGGGAATGCTGATAGTGGCAGCAGCTGCAGCATCAGCGAAAAGAACGCTAAAACTACCAGCCGGAGACTTCAGAATCTCCCAGTCGATCCAAAAGCCGGTCTTCTGTTTGTTTCTGGATCCGGGACGCACGAGTCCGACGGCGGTAGCGGTCCTTGGTCCCTTTCCCCGCCCTCCACTCCACCGTCTTCGCTCTCCCGATCCCACTTATCTTCTTCCAACCACCAGAGGGGCGCCCCTTCAGTTACTTTCCGGTTGCGGACAGGCATGGGGGGGATTTCAACGTCTGAGCAAAGAGAGCACCAACCACAGCGCGATGGCGGTGATCTGCTCCCAGCCTACCTTCGTTATCTAGTACATTTAAGGTAATAGCTCATCCGCCTGCAACTAATTCTAACCCATGGATTGCAAGTCCTCTCCGGTGGCACACATACGTACATGCTGCCACAATTTGCTGGCGTCAAAGTTACCTGTAGGTGTCCGCATTCGTGCGTCTATAGCCCCGCGCGTTTGGTGTGCTGGCTCTGTTGGAGAATGCTGACTAAGGCGATGGCAACTACATCGAGGTCAGCGAGGTCACACAACACAGTACTAGTGCTGTGTAGACCTTGTTTGCCCGGCATTTGACCTGACTAGCGCCGCTCAGTGCAGTATTCAGCATGAATGCTTGTGTGTAGGCTTGTTTTGTTTCCGGTGATTCTCGCTTACTGGCGTCTAACATGCGTTTTTACGAAATTTTTTTCCAATTCCGCTCTCCTCAACTGTTTTCGTTAGTGGCTCTACCGTCCGCTCAGGGAAGTAACAACTGTCGCCTTATCCTCATTCCATGGAGCGGACCAGATAAACTGCGCCTCCTCTGTACTTCGAAAAGTTTGAACAAAGTCCACCGAGTTAAGTAGTTATCTAGATACACAGAAGTTCAGATCATCTCACAGGGTATTGCATATGGTCCCTAGTGAATGAAAGATCATAATAGAGAATTCTAAAAGAAGACACTAGGCTACGAAGGTTGTTGTTGTTGTCTGCTTATTTCTATTGGGATACTGAGTTCAAGCGGGACTGTAAACATGTATCACTGCCAATAATTCGATATAAACGAGATAAGGAGTTCCAGAAAGCATCAAAGACGGCAACATGTGGAGGTAGCAGACACAGTGGTGACGCAGTATCTATAGGATGCAGCTGCTGAACTACGAAACGATAAAAACAGCAGGCCCTGCTCTTGTCGCAGATAATTGTGCTCGATTCAGTGAACACATGACCTTCCTTTATGCGAGTCGTTAATCACCGTGATTTCACCAGCTGTGTTGGCGACTCAGTAAGTCAGTCCATCAGAACTGACAATGGAAGCAGTGTTCACATACTCGATCTCATCGTTCATAATCAATTCACTCTGGCAAATTCTTAGCACCGAATAGGAAGGTAGGAGATCCTTGTGATTGTTACTTAACTGGGGGTCGGAAAACCATGACGCAAGAGTCTCGTATCTCACGTGTTTGCCAACTCTTTCCAGAATGACGGCGCTGTCAAACTTCAAGGTGTGGACAGGCAAAGAAATTGGTTACGTAAGTAGCGTTTTCGTGAACACTACATCCATTGACAGTGCTAGTAGGCCAAATCACAGAGTCCTTATCTGGCTAATTGTCAACACCAGTGATGAAATTGTGAAGATTAACGACCGTCATAGAGGACAGTCAGGCAATCGACAGTTCGACCGTCGATTGCGACGATGTCCACCGTGTTTCCACAGCAAGGTGAGAGCAGGGACGGTGACTTGCACGTGAATTAGTTTATAGTGATAGTAGACTCACGCGGCATCCACCACACTCTATCCTCCCCTACCTGTACCCGGTGTCAAGAGAGAGTCAAGAAGACCGGAGGGGGGAGGGCACAGATGGCTGGCGCGGCCGGACCCGCACCTAGGCGCGCCACCACACCCCCTGGTCCACAGCGTACACTTGACCAGAATTTTTCACCACCACCAACAACAACACCCAACAGGAGTCAGAAGGACGAGGATGATGACTGGGTAGCCATGCCCACCACCTATGTACGCAGGGGGACGCAAGCGCATCTACCGGCAGGAAATCAGGTCTCAGGGAACCGCCTGCGCATACCAGGCTACGAGGGCCAGTCTGCTAACACTGGCATAGCACATGCTTTCAGACCTTCTGACCTAGAAGAGCGACACGTAATCCTGCATTTAACTTGGACCGTCATCCTCCAGGGTTGGGTAACCAAACAGTCGTCGACTGAGAGGAACTACCCCTAAAGCGCGCATACAAACACCCTCTTCATATGCATGAGTGTCACAGATCGCTTGAGAAGAGGCCGTGACAACCTGGCTCTCATCCCACCAGTCCGCCACTTCACACAACGCACAACTGGGCAGACTGCGTGGACTGAGTTGGGACGCCAGTTGGCTGCCTTCCCAGCCACGGCGCTCGACGCACCGTCTTCGTCTCAGATTCCGATCACACATGCAGCAAGGGAGCCGCATGGATAAGGAGCCGAGGCGCACAAATCCCACTTGCGTGGGAGGTGGCATTTGGGTGCTTGCGGCGGGTGATGCTGATGTGCGGTGAGATGCTGGTGAGGGAGGATGTGGTGGTGTGGTGCAGCCGGCGGTTGTATACCGCAGGTTTTCGTGGACGCGCATGTGGTCTTACAGACCCATGCGGTGAATAAATGCGCGAGTGAAATGTGGACAGTGGAGCGGAAGCGGTGAGTGTAGGCTGCTGTTCTAGGCACTGGTTCGCCAGTGTCTGTGTGATGGATTCGCAAGTCACCGATCAGGCCGATGCGTGAGGCGAATAAAGGGGGATGGTGTGGACAAGAGAAGTCGGCTGTGTCAGTATCAGCTTCGGTGATAGAGATGGTGAAACTGATGGTGATGGGCACCTGGGCAGCGGGGTGTGGGTTAGGCTCTACAGTGTCCTGTCTCCCAAGAGAGCTATCAATGAGTATTATGTGTTATTCAGAGCAATAATTACCCAAAAATGAACCCGAAGTTCTGAACTTGACTTCATCTCGAAAGTAAACTTGTAAGTTTTGGGTGATCCGGCTGCAAGGCCTACATGCATAAAGTTTGTTCTTTCGAAACACCCATCTGAACTTCTGCCAACCTAAAAAGAGCCAAATGGAAGTGAGCTGTTCACTCTTGTTTCATTAGCTCCAAACCTTACGCGATCCAAACAGCTGCAGGTAAGGCATGGTTATAAGTGCGCCCGTATCACAAGTGGTCTTGCTCCAAATTCCAGGGTTTTTTGGCTTGGGGTTACTTTCAGGGCTAGGAGGGTTAGTGTTGGGGTTGGGGTTATGGTTTGTATGTAGGACCCTGGAACAGATACCTCCTGAAATCTAAGTTAAGGCCATCTGTGGTACGGGGATATTTATATCTGTATTCAGTCCAGCGGTGGGCGAACTGAATTTTACGAGCCGTATACCCAGCCATATGGCAACTATCCTCCCCATTTTGGCATTTCTCGAATATGTGGTAAACGAGAGAACAAGCCATCTACCGCCACTGGCGGCCCACTGAATCCAACATTTTAAGCAACAGTTCGCCCTATACTGCTATCGGCAACGTCATTTTCGGATGGCCTTCCCAATGCTGATCGATGACGCACATAATCTGCCCTTGATCTCGACTGTCGAATGAGCCCCGTGGGCGTGGATAGCTTTTGCTGCATGTATTTAACCGTAGGCTATACGCTTAGTTAATCGTTTAGGCGTTACAAGTATTTCCCACATGCGTTGTGTCCTTGAGACAGTGACAGGCATTTAAAACTCGCTTGCAGCGTCCAAGTTTATTAATAGAGAATATGCGAGTGCCTAGGTTAAAAGAATTCGCTCAGTCAGAAAGGGGCAGTACTTACGCGTGCTGGCAAATATGCACTCCACCGATCTGAGGATTTCATTTATTGCTTTTCGTGTCCTCATAAAGCGCCCGGATGCCATGTCTTGCTAGGGCTAGGCAGTCCTTCGGCTTGCTCTAAGGTCTTCTTTCATTTTATCCCATGATACTTTTATGGGGCTGCAGATCATCAACACAGAGGAGAGTGAACAACAGATCTCCCAACCCTTTCTACTAGTAGATTTAAATCAGTAGATCGGTTTAGTCCTCGTGACGTAAATTTCATCGGGCGTTTGAGACTCAGAAAATCGTGTTTTATACAGCAGAATCGTACACACTGTTCTGATTGAAAGAAAATACCCGGACCCGGGTGAATGTACTGAGATAGAGATGCTCCCTGTCAGCCCGGCTCCACTTTGCCACCACACGCTACATGCCTGCCTGGTCACTGGCCGTGAATTTCGGCTAGAATTCCTCGACCTTAACATGTTCGCACACTTGTTCGCCACCGCCAATTCCCAATGTGTGTGTATGTAGGTCGGCCTTATGCTAACGAGGTGACATTCTCCCCTCAACTTCATACAGTGCGCACTCTTCTAAGTCAGTACTAAGTCACTTTGGCCTCTTTAGGGCCCTTATTTACTCCTGACCTGTTTACAGATCGACGTTTTCCAGAAGCGAAGTCCCACAGGGATTTCTCGATACACTTGCAAACCGTAGGCTGCTGTTTTCTGAAGCTGACCAAAAATTAGTTCAAGTCCTGTTTTTAGCCTCTAGTCTAATTTTTTGTCTTTGTCTAACTGACGTAACGAATTCTGAATCTCCGTAATTGACAGTAAGACAGTTGTAAGCTATGTGAGGGGTCAACCCCCCCGCTCGACTGGATTTAAAATCTCAATTAATGGCTTGCCCTAGTCGGTCAACAGACTACAGAGGGCTGAACATCTGCTTGCTCTCGAGCTCGCATTACGCGACCTGTCCCCCTTTCATGTTGTGGTGTTGTCATGTCCAATTGTTAAAGTATCCAGGGTTTTTACTACCTATTCGGACAACACAAACTACGCAAGCCTGACCGTCTCTCAGTCTCCCGCTACATCCTTCTTCGGAGTTTCTAGGTCTACAGCTCTCTCCATTATTTTCCCTTTTGCTTTGCTGTTCCACAGATTCCACTCAACGAAGTCGGGCAACTTATACCTACACACAGACATTCGCCTTATCTTCGCTAGGGACAAGTTCGAGTTCGATCCTCGCTTGGCAACCTATGAGATGCGTTCCTTTGTTGACGCACCAGCGAATCCACGTTATTCTCCAAAAAAGTGACTCCTCCCCTTGAAAGTGTCCAAGCGTATCCCATCCATTCGGAAGGTATTCACACTTCCACACATATTTCTGCCGTGATGGGAAGCAACGGAAGCGTCTGACATTTCCCTTCCGCCACAAAACTAACACCAAATGAACCCGGATTGGTGATGCCGGGGTCACCATATCCCGCCACTAAATCCCCCTGTCCTTTCACTTATTGTCTTTCCAGCCAGCTCAGAATGCAGTGGCTATCCGGCTACATCGTAGCTCTCATTGACCTTCACTACCCATACATCTCCCGAGACTGTTCCTTATCTTACCCAGCGTGTAGTGGAAACGTACACACATTATTTTGTTTTTTTTGGTATCTATGTTAGTTTCTGCTCTTCTTTCTTCAAGGTAGTACATATGCTTTTGTGGCCTTTTCTAACTTATTTTTGGCAGGAGCTGCTCCACCCTCGACACACTCCCTTACCGTCTTCGAAAGCGCTCGCTCATTTGTTCTCTTCTCTCGTTCCTTCGCTCGTTTTCACTAACGCTCTCATCTCAACCCTTTGTGGGTCACCACTTACTAGCTGACACGCTCGAATTCCTCCGTTTGCCCTTCACGACTCTGTACAAATCAGATTCCCTCTGTACCACCACTCCTAAGACCCTCTCCACCGCATCTTTTCTTGGGAGAAAAGCTTTATTGAGTTATATGGAAACATAGTCTGCATAACTAATCGGTCGAGTATTTCCCTATGTTGGTGCACGTGTGTTGGATGGCATAGTTGCCTTCGCTCGTCTCCGATCGTCTTTACTTTGTCCTGCTATCAGAGCAAGGTGGGTAGGTATGAGGGAAAGTGCTGTAGATGCTGCGCAAGTCTGCCTGACTTCAGACTAGTTCACGGCCGAGTGACTTCTGCTTCCACTCCATGGGGCGCGTGGTGGAGTCTTTGATTGCGGCGAAATATCGACTTCCATAGTAGAGTCCTTGCTCAGCTAGATTAGGAAGGGTGGGAATTACTCTGCTAGAATTGTACAGAGGATTCGGCCTAATAGGGCCACATTGTACCGCGGGGTCTTGGCCCAATTTAGCAACGAATTCAAGTTGCTGATTTGGGCAACGTCTTACATTAGGGGAGTTTAACACTGAAAAAGTAAAATTCTTTCGCCTTCTACCCTTTGTTTTCTCGGCTTACATATCAGCCCTTTTTACTCCTGTCATTGGAGTAGCCCCGCCATACGGTAACGTGTGTCCCTCCTCGTGTTCTATGAGACGTGCTGTGTGGATAGTACACTCGGGAAGATCAGAATTGGGATTTCTAAACCCATCCGTCTTTGCTAATTTATGTTTGAGGGTCATCGCATCACTTGTTTGATACAGTCGTCCCCTGCTGAACTAGTGAACCGTCGAGAAACCGTCCGAAACGGATCGTATTTCTGCCTTTAAATTGCTCCGTGTCATTCACTAACCCGAAAAAGGAAATTAGGGGGGGAGTGAGGGGGGTTCGTGAAGACCGCACTTCCAAGCCCTCCGTGTTAAAGATCCCGGTCCGTAAGTCTTATAGCCGTACTTTTGTCGCCCGTCCGATGTGTGTATCAATGTGTGACCTGTAATCGGCACAGTTGGATGCAAAACTCTTCCTAGGATTAATCTGATTAGTGTCGGTAACTACTTTTCAGCCCCTGTTCATTGGTTGTTATCAAACGCGCAGGGAGTTGAGGCCTGGCAGTTTTCTTGAGCATATTCTAGTGATTATTCATTCATGTTTTGCTTCACCACGCCCCTCCCTTCTTCTAAGGCAAATGACTGTAATTTTGACTGAAAACCATCCACATAATGTGCTGTATAAGTGAAGACTTACAGCTTTGGCTGCAGCGCAAAAAACCAAGTTTCTCCCATTCGAGCTCACTAGTTCCCGCCGCTGCGTCAGGTTTTGAGCTCGTATCCGAAGGCAGTTTACCGTAAGGAGGATTATAGAAATACATTAGCGCACTAATTCCAAGATTCCTAGCTGACATGCACAAATAAACCTTGTACAGGTTTTTGCTAAGTCACTAGATCTCCATTCCAGTTGTACCTGCTTGAATCTCTATAGAATTTCTTTGGTTGGTGCCTCTCAATTTCATCAACTTTACTAACACTTTTATGTCTAGAAGGTAACCTCATCTAACGAGAAAATTCCCTGTGACTTACTGTGTTCTCAGCATTTTAACCGAATTTAATTGTCCATGTCTATCTCGCTGTCATGCGATAGGTTATTTTTCATGCGGACAGTATTTAATTACATTCCAATGTGCTACAACTTATAGGGCTGTAGAACGCACCACTGCGCAGTAATTTGCACATATCGGTAATTTGAGATTGTCATCGGATATAGAGAAGGACAGCCGATCTACTGGGTCATTTTTTAACCAGCACTGACTCAACGCGCTGGCAGCAACACCAAGGTGGACGCTCGTATCATGACCCAGTAATCCTCAACCCGCATGTTATTAGGGTCCTGTTGCTCCGGTTGCAATTCACCTGCAGAGTCCTCGTCTTGTTGATGTCGGCGCTTCGCTCTTTCTTTGTATTTCTTCAGCCGGTAAAGCACTTTGCAGCTCAGTGGGCTAGTTTACAATGCCTGCCTGATCTTTTGTTAGACACATATTCTCGAAATTTATTGCAGTTTCCTGATAGGATGGAGAGGTGGAGTTGCATTTCGCGTGGATATTGCATTTCCCAAGTTTATAGACAATATAATTACAGTTGTCCAGCCAGTTATTATGACTCCTATTTTGTTTAACCGCACACTCCACATCGATGCTAGGGTAAGTTCCTCTGTCTGAAATGAGCTCGTTCTTTCCATTTGGTACTTATGTTGGCTGATGAGTTAAATCGCCATGCACCAGTGCTTAACCCATATTTCACAATGACACTCACTGGTATTAACATTCGAGATTAAGTTTAAGAGGGTTCTGACAACTGGTTTTACCCAGTCTTGTGAAAATAACACTAAAAAACTTTGTTATGGAAGGAAATTTAGTTTATCGCTCCTACTCCCTTAAAACCATACACCAAACTCAATCACTTGCGAGCTTCCTTGTCGATAAAAGGAAGTTTTATTATATACACCACCTTTTTCTTGCATATTGCCTCGGAATAATCGTTATAAGAAGTAACAAACGCCTAATGCACATAACGAACTTCCAGTTGAGCTTTACAGAGACGAAACTCTGTAGACTCTAATTTTCACGCGTGTCTCGACACCCAACTTCAGAACGGTCTCAGATTGGGGATAACCACTTGGACTGCGCAATGTTTTCTTGCTGGTAAATGCTTTTTCAGGTCCTTCCGTAAACCCCCTTCGATCGTATCAACTGATGAATGGTGAAACAGTGAAACAACATTAAAGGAGATAGGACATTCTGTGGCATTTAGTGTTAGTCCCTTGTTTTCAGTCTCAGTGGAAATGGAGTTCTGTCAAAATGTTTGCGTATTCCAAATTATCGGGACGAAGCAGCCATAGACACCAACGGATAAAAAATTTCCATCAGAAGGTAACATCGTAAACTCAGAAGAAAGAAGAAGTTTGAACAACTTACTATTGTCGACGCTCAAACAGCGATGTTGTTTTCATCGTTTGTAACCAGGTGAACAAAAACCTGGACGGTCAGCGGACACAGTGTTGGGAAGTCAGACAATTAACTACGAGAAGCGAAGAGGCGAGTTCCAGGAAGTAGTCGCGCAGAAGGAGACAGGATCGCTGTAACAAGAGCTTTATTAACCTGACTTTTCGAATCCTCACTCGAATCCATCATCAGAGACAGAGTCAGATAAAAGTGGTAAATTGTCCAAGTGTTGGAATATTTATAGGATGTAGTTGCTAGGCCGCTACATGCCTATCGCAGTTGGCAGCTCCCGAGTGCAGCACGGCTCGACTGGCCAAGTGCTGAAGCATGCAGTTGCCGTGCAGTTGGTATGCGCTTGCGTACCGGTCAATATTATCAATTCCCACGCTCATCGCACGCAGTCGAGTTGCTGACGGCCGGATTTCGTCATTCGTGTGGGCTCTTGGGCAATTTGGCGCGCTGATATTGACACCAGGAACAGTGTTCGTCCGCACGCATGCGGATGATACCTTTGCCGTCATCGAACGCGATCGGGTGATGGAATTCAAAGAACATCTCAACGCCATCTTCCCGGACATTCAATTTACGATGGAGGAAGAGAAAGACAACCAGCTGGCCTTTCTTGATGTCCTCGTCTGCCGCAAAGTTTGTGGTGACCGAAAACCCAAACACGATGCAAATACTGAACTACAACAGCAACCACCCAATCAGTCAGAAATGCAGTTGCGTAAGGACACTATACAAGCCTGTGGAGGCGCATTGCAGTGAACCGTAAGACAAGGTTGCTGAATTACAATACCTTCGACGGGTATTCAATACCAGTGGCTACCGCGCAACTTCGTCACCTAGTGCCTACGAAAAAGAGAAGAGAGACGAAATACAACTGACCCCCCATTTTGGCGAGCTCTTCCCATACGTGAAGAGTGTCTCAGACGCCGTCGGCCGTCTTCTCCGCCCCTTGGAATTGGGATAGGACACAGACCGAAGGCAACCATAAGGCGCCAGAATATGAGGCCGAAAGATCCATTGCCACGGCAAGAAACACCTGGAGTCGCTTATCTTGTCTGGTGCAGCTGTGGGCAAAGCAACTATGTTGGGGAAACCGGAAAACTACTACAGACGCGGATGGCTGAGCACGCAACAGCAGTGAGGAGGTAAGACGCTAGCTTACAAGTCGCGGCTTCTCCTACCGGACCAAACCACACATTTACGTTTGATGGAGCAGAAATTCTTGCTATATGTGGCAACTGCTTGAGCCGCGAACTACTCTATTCATGGTTTTCGGGTCCTCAATCAATCAATAAGCGCAACGACCCCCCTCTCCATGTTCGACGCTGAGACTTTGCCTTGGCAACGTAGTTAGCCGCGAGGACAGCGTGCGAACGAACACTGTTCCTGGTGTCAATATCGGCGCGCCA